TTTTTATACTTTTAATTAAAGTTATTTGCATAATGAGTTTTTATTATTGATCTTAATGCTTTAGAAGCTTGATCACCTTTTGATAATTATGTGCTTTATGTATGAACTTAAAAATAATTGCGTAAATTAGACCAATAACAATATAAATCATGTGTTAAATTATGAGATCGATAGATAATTAGTATCTCACATATGATAATAGGGGAAGAGAAGGGAGTTAAGAGCTCTCTCTTCTTAAATTAGAGGTTTCCACATCAGTTAATACTCACTAATTTATTTTAAATTATATAGAAATATAAGCAACCAAGTGAAAGATCAATTTGACTTAAGAAAACTAATTAATTAATGAATTTGTCTATCCTGTACCCCAAGGGCATAGGATAAGATTCATTTATTGTACCTTTTTTATCATTAATTAAGCATTAATTTATAAAAAAAATTAAAAAAAATTGACATTAATTTTAACATTTATGATACATGGATATTTTTTAGACCATTGGTAAAATTAATATTGACTTTTAGTTTTACTATGTATATTAATAATAAAAATGTACAATAAAGGCACTCTTAAGATACAGAATAGAAAAGCTCTTAGTTAATTTAAGAGAATCAACTATCACTTACAATAACACCTAATAAATTGGTTTTAGAAATATATTAATATAGAATTTATATTAATTAATTATGGTGAAATCAAATGCTTTGGTGAGTAGTTATTTTAGAAGAATCCACTATCACATACAATAACACTCAATAAAATTGCTCTTAAAAATATATTAATCTAAAATTTATATTAATTGATTATGGTGAAATTTGATGCTTTAATATCTCGTATCTTGATTATCTTTAATTTAATTGTTATTTTTTTATTGTTTTTAGTTAAAGTTTATTCTTTTTTATTATTCAAATAAATCTAAAATTAATTTTTTTTTTATTTAGTTAATCACATTTTTTGTGAGTTTGACATTTTATTTATTGTTATATCACTTGAAGCAACTAAAGTAATTTTTAGTACATCAATTTTAATCATGGTTTTAAAACTCGACTTGGATCGGTCTAATTGAACCGATTGAACTGGATTCGGGCTTTAAAACGGGCCAGTTTGATGCATTGGCCCATGTTAGCCCGCCAGACTCGCCAGACCCGCTCCAAACTCCCAGCTCGTCCCATCCGCCGGGCCATCCCTTTCCCTCATCCCTACTCCATCTCCGTGAGTTCATCGGCATTTCACCACAGCAGTCACCACCTCATCACCTTCGGCAAAGCAGCCTGATCTCCCTGCTCCACTTCCGTCAAGATCTTACCACCAGTCACCGCCTCATCTAGTCATCTCCTTTGCTAAATAGAAGCAACAAAGCTGCCCGACCGACTCTTGATGACCACATGAATCAAATGGCAGATCTCATTCAAAAGCTCTCTTCGGAGCTCCGCTGGGGCCTCCGACCAGCCTACGACAATTTCATGGGATTCTTTCATGCAATCGATTGGAAGGTAATGCATCCACTCCCTCCATCTTGCCATTTCTGTTTGGCTGTCGAGAAAACTCAGGAAATGGAAGAAATTCTATTTTTCTTTTGTTGTTTTGTTGGAGTAGAGAATGATTTTGAATATATAGATCTGAGATTTATAATGCATGTCTGTTTATTACACATTAGATCCTTTGTGTTATCTTTTAAAGTAGCATTGCATGTTTGTTTGATGATAAAAATGTAAAAGCGTGATTTTTTCCTAAAATCATTTGAAGTCTCGATTTTACTTTTACAAAAATTGAAGAAGAGATTTCCAAAAATTTGCCGCAGGGGAGGGAAAGATTTTGGATTGCTGCGATGCCGACGTGCCGCTGCTCACTACCACTGCTCACATCTCAGGCACTGGCAGGATGGAAATCTATTTGGTGACCCAAATCATGCAGAGCTAGCCTTACATAGTAGGATTTGGTTGCTGCTGCTCACTGCTCAAGCAAAGAAGGATAAAATTTGTTGCTAGAAAAAGGAGTAGATAAGGATCAGGAAGCGAGCTTGAATGGAGAAAAATGGTAGAAAAAGAAAGAAGATGATAAGGCGAAGAAGGTGAAACAATGGAGGGGTACTCTTTTTAGTGGATAGTATGTTGACATGTGATTAGTGTTGTTTTTTCTTTTTTGGGCAGTGCTAGCTGTTTTTTGGGCAATGTTAACTGCTAGGTGTTAAGGAAACCAAATCTGTATCATAGCATATTAATTTTCTGTTTAAGCTCACATTCATTCTCTGTATAATATCCAAGATTGTGATTCACTTGCCTTATGTGGTAGGGCAACACTTAGGCTCCAACTGTATATATACTCTTGATATACTCATGAATAAATAAGTTCTTCACATACTCTGAACCTATAGTGGTATCAGAGCCAAAACCTCTAATGAGTCTCCTCTGTCTTACCAATGGCCAAAACCTCTGGAACCTGCGACAGCACCTCCTCTTCTGGTGCGAACTCTCCAACCCATAATCATAATACCAGCAACCCGAACTCCGCAGCCATCGACCTCAACCATGCTACTCGAGGACCCATATCCTTCAACTCTGCTGTGTTTCCTCTTAAGCTAACCCCCACCAATTATCCCTCCTGGAAGACGCAATTCACGTGTCTTGTTGCAGGTTATGATTTACTTGGTTTTCTGGATGGCACAAATCCATGTCCTGTGGCTACGGAACCAACCTATGCTCTTTGGGCTCGGCAAGATCAACTCTTACGCCATGCACTCATTACTTCAGTTTCAGAGAACATCACACCCTACATTGCTGCGGCACCCACTGCTCAACATGCCTGGGAAATGCTAGCCAACCTCTATGCAAACCGATCGCGTGCTCGAGTGATCACACTGAAGGAGTGACTTCAAAACATGCGCCGTGACGGAAGATCTGTCTCTGAATATCTCTGCACTCTAAAAGAGGTGATAGATGAATTAGGTACAATTGATCGACCCCTTTCTGATGATGATCTAACAGTCTATATTTTGAATGGCCTAGGTCCAGAATTTCGAGAGATTGCAGCATCTCTTCGAACGCGAGACACCTCTCTGCCCTTTGATGATCTCCATGATCGGTTGGTGGCTCATGAAGAAAGTCTCCGACGGGAAGATACTAAACTGGAATCCACTCCTCTCACTGCCCACTTTGCTAGAGCAGCCACAACACCCTCTTCCTCCATCGTGACCTCGGCTGGACTGTTGCCCACACCTCACAATGGTCGGTTCTTCCCTCCACCACATCGGAACTATCGAGGACCCCTGTCCTCCAACAGAACCTTCCCTGGGAATTGACGGCGTGGATCCTTTGGCCAGCCTAACAATCGGCCTACTGCTCAAGCTTGTCAATTGTGCCACAATTCAAGCCATTTTGCCCACAAGTGTCCGTTTTACCAGGTTCAACAACACCCTCCGCATGCCAACTTTGCATCCTCTCCCAACATTGCTTCTGAGGATTGGCTACTCGACTCTGGTGCAACTCACCATGTGACCACGGACCTTGCCAATCTCGCCTTGCACTCTGAATATCTTGGCCCTAATGAACTTCAAATTGGGGATGGAACAGGTTTGAAAATCACACATGTGGGTGATACCACATTACCTACCTCTTCCACCTCTTTTCCTTTACGTAATGTTTTATGTGTTCCCTCTGCCTCTAAGAACTTAATCTCTGTTTCTCAATTATGTAAACATACTAATGCCATTGTCGAATTTCACCCTAATTACTTTTTGGTGAAGGATCGAAGCACGGGGGCGACAATGTTGCGTGGTCCAAACATCCATGGAGTTTATCAACTCCCAAGCAAAACTAAGCCTGTGGCTCTGGGTTGGTGAACGTGTCTCTTTGGCGAACTGGCATGCACGCTTAGGTCATCCTAATACAAAGACCATAAAATCAATAACTCGTGTTTTTAAATTACTTATTTCTAATAAAATGGACTTTTCTTTATGTGAATCTTGTGCGTGCTCTAAGAGTCATAAGTTACCCTTTTCTCATTCATCTATCACAAGTCATGCTCCACTAGAACACATCTATTCGGATGTTTAGGGTCCGGCCCCAACCGTCTCGATTGATGGATTTAATTATTTTGTATTGTTTATCGACCATTTTAGTCGCTACATTTGGATTTTTCCCATAAAATACAAAAATGATATTTCAATAATTTTTCCAAAATTTAAATCTCTTGTTGAAAATCAATTTGGTTTTTCAATTAAAAATTTTCATTCCAATGGCGGGGGCGAGTACATTGCACTTCGTGCTTTTCTTTCTCAAAATGGTATTTCCCATATTACCACACCATCTTATACTCCTGAACTTAATGGTATTAGTGAGCGTCGGAATCGACACATTGTCAAAACAAGCCTTACTTTACTTCACACTGCCTCCTTGCCATCCAAGTTTTGGTCCTTTGCATTCCAAACTGCTGTCTACCTAATTAATAGATTGCCAACAGTGACCTTGTCTTCTATTTCTCCTTTAGAAAAATGATTTAAAGTCAAACCAAATTACTTAAAGTTACGCATTTTTGGTTGCTCTTGTTATCCATGGCTCCGTCCATATAATAATAATAAACTACAACATCGCTCTCGTCCTTGTATTTTTTTAGGCTATTCCCCGGATAACTTGAGTTACAAATGTTTTGACATTCATTCTGGAAAGCTTTTTTATTCATGGCATGTTATTTTCAATGAAACCAATTTCCCTATAATACTCCTACTCTACAAAACTCTCTCTCCAAGTCCACCTCCCATAGTTTTTCTAATTCCTTCTTTCCTCATGACTTCTCTGCATAGCCAGTTCCCATTGACATTGTTTGCCACTGCCCGGCTGCTGGTCGCTCAATGTTGCCTCCTTGTGCTATAGTTCCCCATCATGAGGTAGTCCCCATGTCCACCAAACCAGTCATTCCTCACTCACCAGTCTCTCCGTCGGCTCCTACCTCCACACCTCGTTCTCCCACTCAAAGCCCCTGTCCAACCTCAACCCCTACCGTCACCCCCACCATCGCTGAATTGGACTCCTCTCCTCCTCTATCCTCCAACCATGCCACTTCTAATAACCTCCCACCACCACCGCCTCCCCCACCTATCCGCACTCATCCCATGGTCACCCGTTCTCAACACAACATCTTTAAACCAAAGACCTTACATCATGCAACCATGGCCTCCCCATTCCCTTCACCTAAACCCATTTGTGTGTCTCAAGCACTCAAAGATTCCCATTGGAGACGGGCCATGTCGGAGGAGTTCAATGCGTTGATTCGCCAAGGGACGTGGGAGCTGGTACCCTCTCACTCGGATCAACATGTTCTTGGCAACAAGTGGATATTTCGGATAAAACGGGGTAAAGATGGGTCAATTACACGCTACAAAGTGCGTTTAGTTGCCAAGGGGTTTCATCAAAGGCCAAGTTCGGATTATCTCAACACCTTCAGTCCTATTATTAAACCCACTACAATTCGGACTGTTCTCTCTCTTGTAGTTAGTCACCGGTGGCCTCTTAAGCAATTGGATGTGAATAATGCCTTTTTACATGGTGAACTTGATGAAGAGCTCTATATGCAGCAACCTGCCAGCTTTATTGATCATAATCATCCCTCACATGTTTTCCGGCTTCGCAAATCGATTTATGGCTAAAAATAAGCCCCCCGAGCTTGGTTTCGAACTCTCAAGGAATTCCTTCTTTCACAGGGGTTCTTCAACTCCAAATCGAATTCTTCCTTGTTTATCTATAACAGGGGGTCTGTTGTGGTCTTTTTTCTAGTCTATGTGGATGATATCATTGTTACTAGCAACAACCTTTCCTTCACTACCTCTTTAATCCGGACTATGGGCCATCGCTTCTCTCTCAAAGAGCCTAGCGACCTCAGTTACTTTCTTGGCATTGAGGCTGTGTCGGTTAATGACGGTCTCTTTCTTTCACGGCATCGCTATATCCAGGACTTATTACAAAAGTCGAGTATGACTGAGGCTAAACCCGTGGCTACTCCGCTAGCTTCCACTTCCAATTTGCTTCTCAACACCGGCGTCACTCTTACAGATGGTTCAGAATACAGAAAGCTCGTCAGTTCTCTTCAGTATCTTGCTCTCACTCGGCCTGACATTTCCTTTGTTGTTAGTCGTCTCTCACAGTTCATGCACAAACCCACTGATGTTCACTGGCAGGCTCTTAAGCGAGTTCTACGCTATCTTCGTGGCATTGCCTCTCATGGGATCCTTCTCCGGCCACAACAATCCTTCTCAATTCACGCCTTTTCTGATGCAGACTGGGTTGGGGACCGTGACACTTGTCTCTCCACAATTGGATACATTGTTTTTCTTGGTGGGAATCCCATTTCGTGGAGAGCGGCCAAACAGCGTACCGTTGCTCATAGCTCCACCAAAGCAAAGTACAGAGCCTTAGCTGCGTCTTCATCTGAGCTTGTCTGGG